AGAGTTGTGGTCTTGGCAAGTCACAGACACGGGCAGTTCTACCTGTCCTCCTAGAGGGCTGCGGTGCGTTGGCATCAACTCGATGACAGGGAGCTTGGTTTGGCTCATGAAAAGTGAGAGGAGGGTCCCCAGAGGAGACAGAAAAAGAAGAATGCTCCCCGGGAATCGTTTCATTCGTGTTGTGCGTTGTGTGACGTAGACTCACCCCATATGGTCAAGGGCTGGCCGTCTTCCTCATCCACCTGGACCGGGCCAGAGGGTGCCGCCTCCTGAGCGTCCTGACTGATGACAGCAGCCCCCTCTACGGAGTCAAATGTTTGGAACGAGGGAGAGACATAGAGTGTCTCTACGGAAGCCTGGTCCTGAGAAACCGAGCCTGACTTGGATATGCTTACATCGGGGCCGGTCCACTCTTCCTTACTTGCCGAGCCAAAGCCTGGTAAAGTCGTCGCTGCTTCGAAACTTCGTGCAGCCGGTTGCTTTGCGAGAGGCGCTTGCGAGGGGTTTGCTAGGACAGTGTTCCTGAGCGTGCTGTCTGATGTCTGGCCCAGACTCACATCCGTCTGCAGAGACGGGCTTTTCTCCGAGGGCGTGGGGGTGGCATCTGTAAGGTAAGGAGGAAGCACTCATCAAAAAGAACACCTAAGGCCTGAGCGTGAACACGTCCATTACCATGGGAATAAACAGCATGGTTAAAAACTCTGTGACACCCGCCCCCTCCATCTAGTTGTTTCCCCTTTGGTGCAGCATTTTTATTCTGCCTATTTAAAGTAGACCCAGGCTATAACGGAGACTGTTGGCATTTAGTCATGGCTGTTTCCTGCACTGCCCACGGAAGCACAAGACCAGGAGAGCTTCAAATAACTCGTCTTTAAATATTTCTCCCTTCACCCACTTATCTGTCCTGAAACCGTTGTATTTTCAGTGCCTTCAAACTTTCATCCTTTAGAAGATTAACTAGAGAAAACACGCCCGATCACACTGATCTGTCTTAACAGAGCCTCCTGCTACAGGAAAAAGCCTTTCTTCCCAGAAGGGACGTCTGTCCACTTGTCTTAGTGTCTCCATCAGGCACAGGAATGGGAGCAGTTTATTCTTTTAATAAGCTCTCTGGTCTACGTGAAAGAAGGGGGACTCTCTTTACGACAATTACTAAATGCAGGTCAGGGCTCCTTCTCCATTTTGTGCAGTGATAAGGTAGAGCACCTGACAGGGTGCCTGGGACACAGAAGATAAGCATTATTTGTTACAGATAGTCGGAGTGAAAGGATTATAGGGAACTGAAATGTCAGGTGAGCCTGATCCAGGAACAGCTAGGAATCGTGGGTCTGGCCCAAATTTCTAAACAGACATTGTTATCAAAATGTCAGTGCTAGGGCTTGCTCTCAATGAATTGGGGATGGAAGAAAGAAAGAAGCCGTTTAAAGAGTTATCGTCCATGAGATTAGAAGCATAAGTAGCCCCAACCAAGAGCCAAACTCACCGTCCCTGCTCACAGTGACCCTGCGGGACAGAAGAGAACTGCCCTTGTGGGGTTCCTGGGACGATCACTCTTTATAGGAGGAGACAGTCTCGTTTTCCTCCCAAGGAGTGGCTGGCGGGTTTCAAACTGCTGGCCCTGCCTTGTGCAGCCCCCAGCAAAACCCAGTACACCACCAGGGCTCCTCCAATGGGAAGGAGGAGGCTGGAACGCTGTCATTTGCCATCAAGTGTTCATCTCTCAGCGTGTACCTTCGGCCTTGGCTCAGCTGCACCTTAGAGTGCTGTCATCACTATCTTCAGAGTCTCCGTTAGGAGAGAAAAACACATTTACTTGACATTAAGAATCTCCCTTTCCTTTGCATTCATAGTTGGGCACCAGCCCGGGCCAGTAAGCTGTAGTTATGCTAACAGCATTGCCCAGTTCAAGAGACTTCGATTGCTTCCTGCAGGAATTTTGCTTTTGCCAGCTCCCTCATGCCCAAACCTTCTCCTGACAAAAACTCAGTGCACGTGTCATTTTCTCCATAAAGGTTTCCCCAGCTCTTTCCTCTCCTCATCCGTCCTGTGGTCTAATTTACCATCTTGTTGGCAACATGCTGCCTCCATTATTACAAGTCTGGCCCCCAAGGTAACAGGTTCTGAACCTGAAAGGAGTCCTTCACTAGGAGTTACTTTTGTCGCCCAGCACCCGGTACAGTGTCGTTCTCATACAATATGACCCATCAATGCTTGTTGGGTGAAAGGAGAAACTGAAAGGAGAAGACAAAGAAAAACTAAACCCTTTGGTCCTATCGCTGCAATGTACCTAACAATGCTTCGTGGAAATAGGAGCCACTGTGACGAATCCCGATGAGCAGCCTTGAGGGCTGTGGTGGCAGCCGCCCCAGCATTTTACATCACCGCATAGGTAGGTGAAAGCCGAATGAGGAAGACGGAAAAGAATCGGTGCATTTGAATTAGAATGTAGGCGAAGAATATTGGATGTTCTATGGATCATGAAAACAACAGGAACCCTGGTGGCTCGATGGCTTAAACACTGGGTGACCAGCCACAAGGTAGGCTCTTCCAACCCACCCGTTACTCCATGGGAGAAAATGAGGCTGACCGCTCCTGTAAAATCTACATAGCCTCTGAAACCCTACAGAGCAGGTTTACTCTGTCCTGTAGAGTCGCTGTGACTCAGAATGGACTCACAGCAATGGCTTTGGGTTGGGTTTGGGTGGGAAGAACAAAAACATCTGTCTTGTAAGAAGTACAGCCAAAATGCTCCTTAGGAGTTAGGATGGCAAGACTTGGTCTTGCATACTTTGGAAAGGCTATCAAGAGGAAGCAGTCCCATGAGAAAGACGTCCTGCTTGGTAAAATAGAGGGTCTGCAAAAAACCATAATAATAATAAGGAAGACCTTCAATGAGCTGGATTGGCACGCTGCCTGCAACAATGGGATCAAGCACACTGACATTTGTGCGGATGGTATCGGACAGAGCAGTGTTTCATTCCATTGTACACAGCAGTGGTTCTCAACCTTCCTCATGCCACGGCCCTTTCATACACTTCCTCATGTTGTGGTGACCCCCCCAACCATAAAATTATTTTCACTGCTATTTCATCACTGTCATTTTGCTCCTGTTATGAAACGGGTGACCCCTGTGAAAGGGTTGTTCGACTCCCAAAGGGGTCAAGACCCACAGGTTGAGAACCACTGGTATACAGGGTCTCTAGGATTAGAACCAACTAGACGGCACCTAACAACAAGGAGTAGAAACTGCTTGTGGTGCAATGACTCGCTTGATATGGTACTTATGCAGTGTGGAAAAGCAAGGATGCTACTGGGAGGACTAAGGTGTGCCTGACCCAAGCCATGATATTTTCAATTGCCTCATGCATGTGAAATAAGACAGAGGGAAGACGAATCGAGGCATTCCAATTATCGTGCTGGAGGAGAATGCTGAAAGGGTCATGGAATGCCCAAGACGGACTGACACAGTGGCCGCAACAATGGGCTCAAACATAAGAACAAATGAGGATGGCACAGGATGGGGCCTTTTGTTGTGTTGCACGTCGCGATGAGCTGGGACCGACTTGACAGCCCCTTACAACAACAGCGACAACAACCACAGTCTTTGTAAGGCCTACCAAATGACTGGGCAGGGCCACGCAAATAGAGGTGCTTGTGGCCCACCAAGGGGACTGGATAGCTTGGTAATGATGTAAATCAGGTAAATGACACATTTGCGAAGCTACGATCGTGAAAACCAGGCATGGGAAACTCAACAAGATGAGTGTGTCGTTTTGGCATCCCATTAGGCCTAAAAGCAGTCATCCCAGGGATGGGAAGGGAAGACCTCCGGGCCATTAAGAACTCAGAACTAGAAGCATTGCACTTCCTTTAGACCAGAGATCACTGCCTTGGTCCTCCTTGACCCAGGGGATAGAGAGCCATGACATTGGAGGTGGCAAGAGCTGGTGAGCAGCTGTAGGAAAGAAGGGATGGCCACAGAGGCGGTAGAAGTAGGCGAGCAACAGGTAGCCCCTTGGGCCCCTGGAGAGAAAGAGTGGAGTGCCCTAGGGCAGAAGGCTTGCTGGCAGTGTTTAGTGCCTCTGGACATTTATTGGCAGGGCTAAAAGAAGTTCGCCACAGTGGCCTGAGCAGAGCAGTGATCAGGAAGTCACTGACCAGGGGGCCTGGATGTGCCTGTGGACACTGTTGAGCAGAAGCTGCCTGATGGAAGAACTGTACCCTGGGCATCCGGATCATGAATTGTGACCTGATACTTTCCTAATAAACCCCAGATGTGGGCATTGTCAGTGAGTTCTGGGGAGTCACTGCAACAGTGTTTCGAACCCGGTAGACAAGCAGAGCGTGCTTTTGGAAGGATGATAGTGTCGGAACTGGTAAAAAGGTTGGCGGGTAGAGGCATGTCTGACCTCCGCCTTATAGGAATCAGCCTCAGGCTGATATTGCTGGTAATTCTCTCTCCCCTTTGTGAAGTCAGAAGAGGTGAAACACTGTCCCGTGCCCTTCTTACACCTCCTGAACAGTATCTAACAACAATAATAAACTCTTCCAAATTTGTGTACGGGCAAATTCACCTTGTTGGTAAAAAAATTCTGTTAAAAATACTAATATAGTTCTAGTAGAATGCTCCAAAAAAGAAGACAGGAAACTCAGTATCATCCAGACGTGTCCGAGTCATGGAAACCCTACAGGACAGTGTCTCACTGGCCCCGTGGGCTTCCAATACTATAACTGTTCACAGGAGTAGAAAGCTTCAGCTTCCTCCATCAGCGCGGTTGGTGGGTTTGCAATACTGACCTTGCAGGTAGCAGCCCAACATGCAACCCCTACCCCACCAGGGTCCTCAGGAGAATGCTAACCAAGTGCGTTCCAAACCAAGTGGTGTGTCCCTTACCTCATTTACATACAAGCGCTCCTTCCGTCAAAGAGATAGATGTTCAGTCAAAGATTTTTCTGTTGACTTTATATATATATATATAAATGAAAAACCTTTGTTCTATCTGTGGTAAAGTCATCTTAAAATTCAGCTTTATGAAAACTAAGCATGGCAGTGGCTTGCTGATGAAAACATACAGAGTCATTTTCAACCTAAATCTCAAAATTGGGAAATATAAAGCCATTGGTGGACCGTGCTTCATATGAACATTTACAAAGGGACAAAAATGTTCCACTTCAATGAGATGAACCCTACTGAGGTCATTCTATTTCAATCTAGCCCTTTTCCAACAAACCAGGAAGGACAGAGTGCTTTACCTTATTTATTTTCTTTAAAAAATGTTTTAATAAATACTGGTAACTTTTTAAATGAATAAAATCCTCT